ACGTGGGTCCCCCTTCCCATGGGCTCACCACCTGTGGGAGGGGCCAAAGGGGTCAGGTGCAATGTGGGATAGGTGGTGGCCGAGGGCGGGGACCCTGGCGGTCTGATCCTCGGCTACAGGAGCTGTCTATTGGGACGTGGAATGTCACCTCACTGGTGGGGAAGGAGCCTGAGCTGGTGTGTGAGGCTGAGAGGTTCAGGCTAGAAATAGTCAGACTCACCTCTACGCATGGCTCTGGCTCTGGAACCAATTTACTTGAGAGGGGCTGGACACTCTTCCACTCTGGAGTTGTGCCTGGTGAGAGGCGCCGAGCAGGAGTGGGCATACTTATTGCCCCCCAACTTGGTGCCTATGTGTTGAGGTTCACCCCGGTGAATGAGAGGGTGGCCTCCCTCTGCCTACATGTGGGGGGATGGGCTCTGACTGTCGTTTGTGCTTATGCACCAAATGGCGGTTCAGCTTATCCACCCTTTTTGGAGTCCTTAGAGGGGGTACTGGAAAGTGCACCTCCTGGGGACTCCCTTGTTCTGCTGGGGGAATTCAATGCTCATGTGGGCAATGACAATGAGACCTGGAGGGGTGGGAGGAACGGCCCCCCTAATCTGAGCCCGAGTGGTGTTCTGTTGTTGGACTTCTGTGCTCGTCATGGATTGTCAATAACGAACACCATGTTCAAGCATAAGGGTGTCAATATATGTTCTTGGCACTAGGACACCCTAGGCCACAGTTCAATGATCAACTTTGTCATCGTCTCATCTGATCTGCGGCCACATGTCTTGGACACTCGGGTGAAGAGAGGGGCGGAACACTGATCACTGTCTGGTGGTGAGTTGGCTCCGATGGTGGGGGAGGATGCCGGTCAGACCTGGCAGACCCAAATGTATTGTGAGGGTTTTCTGGGAACGTCTGGCAGAGTCTCGTATGATACGGATTTTTAACTCACACCTCTGGGAGAACTTCGAACATGTTCCTGGGGAAGTGGGGGACATTGAGTCTGAGTGGACCATGTTCCGTGCCTCTATTGTCAAGGTGGCTTACCAGGCTGCGGCCGCAAGGTTGTCGGTGCTTGTCGCGGCGGCAACCCTCGTACCCGATGGTGGACACCATCGGTGAGGGATGCTGTCAGGCTAAAGAAGGAGTCCTATCGGACCTTTTTGGCCTGTGGGACCCCGGAAGCAGCTGATGGGTACCGGCAGTCCAAGCGACATGCGGCTCGGGTGGTCGCTCAGGCAAAAACTCGGCCATGGGAGGAGTTCGGAGAGGCCATGGAGAATGACTTCCGCACAGCTTCGAGGCAATTCTGGTCCACCATCTGGCGTATCGGGGGGGAAAGCGGTACACCACCAACACTGTTTATAGTGGGGGTGGTGTGCTTCTGACCTTAACTCGGGATGTCATGGGTCGGTGGGCAGAATACTTTGAAGACCTCTTCAATCCCACCGGCATGTCTTCCACTGAGGAAGCGGAGCCTGGGGACTCTGGGTCTGAGGTCACCGAAGGTGGTTAAAAAGCTCCTCGGTGACAGGGCCCCAGGGGTGGATGAGATTCACCCGGAGTTCCCTAAGGCTTTGGATGTTGTAAGGTTGTGTTGGCTTACGTGACTCTGCAATATTGCGTGCACATCGGGGGAAGTTGCCCTGGATTGGCAGACCAGGGTGGTGGTCCCCCTATTCAAAAAGCTGGACCGTAGAGTGTGTTCCAACTACAGGGGAATCACACTCTTAAGCCTCCCTGGTAAGGTCTATTCGGGGGTTCTGGAGAGGAGGGTCTGTCGGATAGTCGAACTTCGGATTCAGGAGGAGCAGTGCGGTTTTCGTCCTGGCCGTGGAACACTGGACCAGCTCTATACTCTCAGCAGGGTCCTGGAGGGTGTGTGGGAGTTTGTCCAACCGGTGGTCTACATGTGCTTTGTGGACTTGGAGAAGGCGTTCAACCACGTCCCTCGGGGAACCCTATGGGAGGTACTCTGGGAGTATGGGGTACCGGGCCCTTTGTCACCGGTCATACAGGGACCTAACAGGTCCCTGTATGACCGGTGTCAGAGCCTGGTCCGCATTGCCGGCAGTAAGTTGGGCTTGTTCCCAGTGAGAGTTGGACTCCACCAAGGTTGCCCTTTGTCACCAATTCTGTTCATAACTTTTATGGACAGAATTTCTAGGCGCAGCCAAGGTATTGAGGGGATCCATTCTGGTGGCCTTAGGATTGCGTCTCTGCTTTTTGCAGATGATGTGGTCCTATTGGCTTCATCAGATCGTAATCTATAGCTTTTGCTGGAGCGGTTTGCAGCCGAGTGCGATGCGGCCGGGATGAAGATCAGTTCCTCTAAATCTAAGGCCATGGTCTTGAGCTGGAAAAGGGTAGAGTGCCCTCTCCGGGTCAGGGAGGAGGTCCTACCCTCATCTATGGTCATGAGCTTTGGGTTGTGACCGAAAGAACGAGATCTCGGATACAAGCGGCCGAAATGAGTTTTCCCCGCAGGGTGTCTGGGCTCTCCCTTAGAGATAGGGTGAGAAGCTCGATCATCCGGGAGGGACTCAGAGTAGAGCCGCTGCTTCTCCACATCGAGAGGAGCCAGTTGAGGTTGCTCGGGCATCTGTTTAGGATGTCTCCTGGACGCCTCCCTGGTGAGGTGTTCCGGACACGTCCCACCAGGAGGAGGCCCAGAGGAAGACCCAGGACACGCTGGAGGGACTGTTTCTCAGCTGGCCTGGGAACGCCTCGGGATTCCCCCGGAAGAGCTGGCCCAAGTGGCTGGGGAGAGGGAAGTCTGGGCCTCTCTATTTAGGCTGCTACCCCTGTGACCCGACCCCAGATATGTGAAAGAAAATGGATGGATATTTGTGCCTCCTACATCCAGAGTCTTGTCTGCACCATTGGGTTCACCCCTGCCTGATAAATAGGGGCGGCTGTGGCTGAATGGTTAGAGCAGTCGTCCTCTAATGAGAGATTTGGGGGGTTCGAATCCACTAGCAGTCACATGCTGAAGTGTCCCTGGGCAAGACACTGAACCCCTCATAGCCTCCGATGTGTGTCCCATTGGTGTATGAATGGGATAAAGCACTGATTAGTCTCTTTAGAATGATTTGTTCAATTAGCTGCTCAATGTGCTATGTGAATGGGTAAATGAGGGCATAGTGTAAAGTGCTTTGAGTATCTTGAAATAAGATAGAAAGGTGCCATAACTTCCGGTAAGATGGCGCTCGTGTACAGGGCTTGCAATCCACCTCTGCTGATGGTGTTCGGATTATTTGTGTTTTGTTCATTTTTTATCTGAGACATAAACTCGCTGCTAGTGTATGACCGACAACAGCTTCTAGATCTTCGTTTTTCTGCCGCCAATGTTGCTTATTTGGATCATTATGAGCGTACCACTGGACCTT